AATGGGAAGCATGAAGCATGTGTTGCAGCAATTGCCCCGGGCCCCACATGTAAAGAGGTATGACTAAAAGATGTATCAGTATTTAAACTGATCATAAAGATCAATACTTTGAATTCAAGACACAAAACCCATATGTTAAAATATAATCCTGATATTTATTCCTGCATTTAAGTAATTCTGTTTGTTTAAGTCCATTGACTTAAATAGGCAAAAATCAATGGGGATTTGGGGAGCAGGACATGAAGAAGCCTTTTGCGCTAGCCTCTCAAAGTCTTAGACCATGATCTTGCCATTCCCTTATTCATAGGCATTTGTTATAGCTATTTTGATGTGGTTGGTAACAGAACATTTCTCCAATAGTTGTTGGATTGCAAAGTCCACAGAGCTTCCCTTAATGCCTAAGTTATGACTGGTAACAATGGCAGCTCTTGCTTTGACTTAGAGCAGGAGTTGGTCTTTAATTAATATGTTAAGCTTACCAAAAAAAAACCCACAAACAAGCATTATCCCGATATAAAGCAGGTTTAAATTTGGAATTGTTTTCTTCAACAGGAGTTAAGTTTTTAAAGATTTCCCCCTCTCTACCCTAACCCACCATTCACTGTGGAAGAGTGGATAAAAAGTGTGAGCTATTAACGCTGCAGTATGAAGAAATTTTTAGATTGAACATTCCTCTGCTTGGCATAATGCAAGCTCTTTTGTGCTGTTTCTTACCTTTTGACTAGATGAGGGCCAGAGGGCAATTTTCTCCATGCTCGTGTAATCTTGCGCCCCCTGTGACTAAATAATGGTCATTATACAAACTATATTCATTGTGTAAGAAGCTGTCGCATTGTACTTAGGATTACTATTCCCCACTGACTCTGCTGAGAATACCAGGTTAATACAGCTGTGACCTGACTGTGCTCAATTTAGACCCCAGCCTCACAAGGTGAGAAACTAACACATTTTCCTCCTGAACCAATCAGTTAAAAAACTGATGTGATAGCTACCACATGTTGCTCCCTTTTTTTATAAGGGAAATGACTTGCACCCCCTGTATGACTTTATAAAGCTTGGTAACAATACCTAGCATCTATCAAAATGTCAAAAGGTTCATTATCTTAAAACCAAGGGAGCAGATTTTTGCAGCTTTCCTTCTCTAATATTAGCCATAAGGCTGCTCTTGAGAGCTCACAATTTTGCTTGTTGAAATGGGGCTGACTGAAGTGCTTCACAGAAAAGCTTATATGTGCATTGTTCCAGTGATAGAGAAATTATTGGTGCATTATCCTCTTTTCTCCTCCATCCCTCTCCCTCTTTCTACTTTTATTTATTTCCCCATTCCCACCCCTGTTGCCCCACTTGCAGGCAAGAAACTTGGCTTCACAATTGACTGTGGGAAACTTCATAATATCTCTTTAGGACAAGGGCAAGAGATTGTGGCAGAGAAGGCAATAGAAAAAGCTGCCAAAGATGGGCACTGGGTTATTCTCCAGGTAAGTGTAAAACAATACAATTGATGTACCTGCTCTGCTTCATTGCATAGCAGTAATGGAAGTGATCAAAAAGAGAATGGCTTTCTGAGAAATTCTGAGAGAAGGCAGTTTTGCCCAGTGTTAAAGAGAGATTTCGTTTCAGCCTTAATTATAGCAGAACAAAATAGAGTATTTCTTGGGTGGTTTTGTTTTTTTCTTTGTCTTATAACTGAAATAAGCTCTTAGCCATAGCAAACTACTACTTAGGGCAGGAAGCGCGAGGGAAAATCATGTGTCAATAAACTGGGGGAAGCGCTGTTCTGGGGAAAGTGGTTTAGTACAACTTCCTGTGTTTTTGATCTTGTCTTCTGTCATTTGGGTGGCCAATCTTAGTTAAGCATTTCATTAGGAAAAAGTAATACATGTCAGCAAAAGCAACATTAGAACCTTGACTTCAGGTCCTGGGCTTAGGCCCTAGTTTTAGGAAGTTTGTTTGTTTGTTTGTTTATTTAACTTCTATGTCACCATAATCTGGACTGACTCCCAGCAGTTAACAACAAAGGTAGGTAGGTAGGTAGGTAGGT